GAATATGGAGATGTGCTCCATGTCTCTCCGGCTCAGGGCCACTCCAGCAGTTTTTTCCCCGTCCCCAGGCCCCAGCGCTGCTCCACAAAGCCCTGCTGCCACCCCGTGGCATTTGAGCAGCGAGGCTGCAGAGCTGGCCATGGCCGCAACGATTGTCCTGGACTGCCTGCCTTGCACAACATCCTTCCAGCCTGGCCAGAGCCAGAACCTCACTTTCCAGATCCACTGCCTCCTGTTGGAAAAAGCCACTCAGCTCATCCTCCTGGACTCACTTTGATCTGAACCTCCTCAGCTCTCACCAACCTCACAGAATCATAGAATGAATCATAGAGTGGCCTGGGTTGAAAAGGACCATAATGATCATCTCGTTTCAACCCCCCTGCCATGGGCAGGGTCACCAACCAGACCAGGCTGCCCAGGGATGTATCCAGCCTGGGATGGATGACCTGGCAGTGCTGGAGGCAGTTTTCCCTTTAGCTGCACTCTGTGGGATCCCCAGCTTGCCCCGTGCCTCTCCCTGCACAGCCTGCCCAGAAATACCCCCAGGGCTCAACATCTCCAGGCCGTGACATACGGCAGTCATGCCTGGCCATGGTGCTACACCCACCCATAGCCCTGTAGTCATCCTACACTTTTCCTCCAGCCAAGAGACATAAAGCACAAATCCCAAGTCTTGTAATGGACACCAACACTCAGCAAGGATAGGATCCACTTCCTGAGTTGGGATTTTTTGCCATATGGACAAGCTGTGGTGGCTGAAACCTCCAAAGTACACCAGCAGTGTGACAGGTCTGGGGCTGAGTGCAAAACCCCTCCCATGCCTTCTGCTCCCCATGGTGGGTGAAACAAGTGGTTGAATACACAGTGATTGACTCCACTCTGACCAGAAAGCAAGTTTTATTGAAATATTTACAGTTGTATCCCAGATCAGTTGTATCCACGCCGACTATAAAAGGTTTATGCATCTCCCTTCAACACCTCTTTCCCAGCCCTACTCACATTCCCCTCCCTGTCAAGGCTGCAGCTGATTTTAAGATCTTTGTGGTCCAACAGTGGCATGGCTGAGTCCAGAGGTACGGAGCGAGAGCAGCTGAGCCAGCAGCTCCCTCAGAGCCCAGGTCCCTCACGCTAAAACTAAAAGGTTTCAGAGCAGTGCCCCACATGCCAGCTGCCTCGCTGGGCAGCACAGCAGAGCACCTGGGAATCCTCCAGGCAGCACCAGAGCTCCTTAGGTTTTGATAGCTGTGTCTCGTGACTTGTAAGCCACACCACGGCTCTTCAGTTCTCGGACGATCCCTGCAACAAGGACACAAACACGTTTCAGATTGCACTAGGAATGAGAAGCCCTAAAAAAATCTGGTTGCTCTATCATGTAGCTTTCACTGCAGAAGAACTGGACAATCTTCTCCTTAGTTCCTTCTAACAGTGTGTCAACTTCACTGTGAAAAGTGTTCCATCCTCTAGTGCCTACACAGAGCACCCAAATATCAACTCAACTTTTGCCCTGGAAAAAAAAAGAAAAGCTGGGCAGAGACTTTATTGTATCATTTTCTACCTGCAGATGTTTGAATATCATGACTGTACTGCATAGGCCAAGCTCTTGAAGGTTGTTCTTAAGCCTCCCAGCCACTTCTGTGATTTGTCTGCAAGTCCCACCTTCTAAATAGCACCACAGCAGTGACAGAAGAGCATCACATGGCTCAGGACAGCTCTCACCAGTACCACACAGCCTGGACAGCCAAATGACAGCCTGCAAGGCTCTCGGCTGCAGCCGGCTGGTTTTCATGCTTCCCAGCACCTCCTTGCTTCTGCCCGTGATGTGAGGACGTTCCCCACACTAAGCAAAGCCCAAGAGCATCTCCCATCTGCATCCCCTCCTGCCCTGCGCTCACAGCTGCGCTCTGCCCACAGCTGCACAGAGCACATGGCATCACTGCTATGCTCCACTTGCTTCAGATGTGCCCAAAGCTGTGCCAGGAGGCCTCGTGCCTCACGGTGCTTCAGCTTTCCCCTAACACAGATGGTGGAGCTCAGGTTAGCAATAAGGGAGATGACATTCCAAACGGAAGTACAGCTTTTACACCAAATGTGGGAGACTGCAGCCCTCTTGGGACACAGGTTAGGAGTCTGATCTTAGGCTGCAAACATGAGAAACAGAAAATGTGATTTCTGCTTTATGAAGGTAGGGCCAACTCACTACAGCCTTCACTGCACCTATAAATGAACAAACACCACCTTAACTTGATGAGAGCCCTCAGTGCAATACTGCAGTGGAAAGGAATATCTGCTCACCACTCCCCCTCATTTTCCCAACTGCACCCCTTTCCGCACCATTCATTTTTGTTTCCTTGAAGATGCACAGCTTGAAGTGAGCACACTCTCCGTAGTCAGGCTTTAATCCCATTTCATTGCTCTGATGTATAACCTGGCATCACAGGTTTTATTCAGCCGAATTTTCATACCAACTTTTGGCGAGCAGAATGCTGGATGACCACAGACAGCCTGTCTGCAGAACAGGGAACCCTGCCTCCCATTCCACACCTTTTCGCAGTCACCTGGCCAATCCTTTCATGCTCAGGGCCTGTTGTAACACTGTTTAATGGACCCCCAAATGCTGATTTCATCAGTGTAGCACACTCACAGAGTGTAACTGGGCAACGTACAGCACCAAGCATACAAAATAACCCATCCCTCAGAGGCCACTGTGCAGCAGCACTCCTCACTCAGCAGCGGCGTTACCTTGGGGCAGGCGGCCGGTCACAGACACTGCATACACACCAGGCTTGAAGTTACCTGAGGGAAAGAAAGCAAGCAGCCGGGTGGGCAAACAGCACCAGCAGCCTCGCCCTGTGCAGGTGCCCCCTCCTCAGGAGTTGCAGCAGCCCAAAGAAGAAATCCTGCTGCCCAGCATCACAGAACTCCAGAGCAGTTTGGGGTTGGGAGGGACCTCACAGCCCCATCCCTGCATGGGCTGGGTGCCCCCCAGGGCCCATCCATGGCCTGGGGCACCTCCAGGCATGGGGCACCCACAGCTCTGGGCAGCAGCGCAGCACCTCACCGCCCTCTGGGTGAAGAATTTCCCCTCACATCAGACCTGAGTCTCCCCTCTTTCAGTTTAAAGCCGTTCCCCCTTGCCCTATCACTATCGGAGAAGGCTGTGGGGCAGAACAGCGGATGGCACTCACTGATGCGCTGCCACTTGGAGACCCAGCTGTCCTCGGGGCTCATCATGGCGATGATCCTGCGGGAGAGAGAGACGTGAGGGGGCTGTCGCCGCCCGCTGCCACCGCGCAGCCCATCGCGGCCCCTCACCCGTCGAAGGAGGAGCTGGTGCAGTCGTAAACCATCTCGCGGTTGCCCTTCATCTGCAGGTAGGCATCGCAGTTGTCGCAGCCGTCGTACTCGAACTGCTCGAGGGTCTGAGCGGGGAACCACACAACCACGAGATCACTGAGACCCACAGAGACCACAGAACCACGAGACCATTGAGACCCACTGAGACCATTGAGACCACAGAACCGTGAGACTACTGAGACCCACTGAGACCACTGAGGTCCACTGCGACCCACTGAGGCCACAGAACCATGGGATCACTGAGCGCCCCGCAGCGCCCCGCGATGCCGCGCGGTGGGGGCGGCGGCGGAGGAAGGCCCGAGCGGGGCGGGACGGGTCCCGGCGGGGCTGGGAGCGGGACAGGCCCGGACAGAGCGGTCCGTGCGGGGCGGGGGGAAGGCAGCGGGCCCGGCGGAGCGCACCTTGACGAGGGAGCAGAGCAGGCAGGCCCGGAGGTGCCGCAGGTCTTTGGGGACGGTCTCCAGCGCCATTGCTGCCGCCGCCGCGCACGCGCAGAGCGGAACAGGAGCGGGCAGAGCCCGGAGGGGGGCGGCAGAGAGCCGGGAGGGGCGGGGGAGCGGCGGGGGTTGGGAGGGCGTCGGGGCTGGGCTGGGGATGCGGGCGCTTGGCCGCCGGTCTGAAACGGCTTCATCGTGACCGTAGAATCATAGAACGGCTTTGATTGGGTTGAACGGGCTGGGGGGGCTCCTCTCTTCTGCAGGCAGAACACCCCCAGCTCCTCGGCCCGGCTCCACAGCAGAGGTGCCCCAGCCCTCTGAGCACCTCGTGCCCTCCTCTGGACCCGCTCCAACAGCCCCACGTCTTTCTCGTGCTGGGGGCCCCGGGCCTGGACGCAGGACTCCAGGTGGGGCCTCACGAGGGCAGAGCAGAGGGGGACAGTCCCCTCCCTGCCCGCTGCCACCCCTCTGCCGATGCAGCCCAGGCTGCTGGCGGCTCTGCGGGCTGCACGCTGCTGGTGTCTTCCATCCACCAGGACCCTCACGTCCTTCTCCACCGCCTTGTGCTCTCTGAGTTCTGCTCCCAGTCCATATACATATCTGGAATTGCCCCCACCCAAATGCAGCACTCTGCACTTGGCTTTGTTACGTGGCCCCACGTTTCGAGTTTGTGAAGGTCCCTGTGGATGGCATCCCTTCCTTCTGTTCTGTCAGCTGCAGCACTCAGCTTGGTGTCATCTGCAAACTTGCTGAGGACGCACTTAATATCATGTGTCACTGATAATGATGTCAGAACATGGATCCCACCATGGACCCCCGTGGGACACCGCTCGTCCCTGCCTCCACCTGGCACAGACATTGACTACAGGCTGCGACCTTCCAACCAATTCCTTTTCCACCAAGCATCCCACCCCTTGAACCCATATATAGAGATAAGGATGTGGTGGGGGCCATGTCAAAGGCTTTGCAGGAGTCCAGGTACACACCATCAGTTGCCCTTCCCTTGATGCTGTCACATCACAGAAGGCCACCAGATGTGTGATGCATGCTGTGCCCTTGGTGAAGCCATGCTGGCTGTCTCAGATCAGCTGCCCGTCCCTCACATGCCTCACAGAACTTCAGCCACGAAGCCATGCAACTCCTTAAAACACACATCTTGGCTTTGTGCAGAACAAAAACACGCGGGTAGGCCGGGTACGTGGATAAATATATTAGTAAATAAATATATTTTTGAGCACATCAGCATATTCACACATCTTTGTTTTTTTATCAGACATAAATACACAGTTTTGCATATATATAAAACCTATTCTTCCATTTTTGGTTGATAATTTATTCCCAAGCCCAGGATAGACTCAGCAAAACAAAACAAAAAACAAACTTGTATTCACATTTAGAAGGATCTGAACTTTAAAAAAGGGAGGAGCAGAGGCTCTGTGCAGAATCGGAGGAGGTCCAGCCGGCCCAGGCACTCTGCCCACAGCCACCCGTAACGGTGGGGTTGAAGGTCCTGGGAAGAAAGTGGTCCCTGGGGAGGGACTGATGGTTTGGTTGTGGATAAAGCGAGGTTGGGATGTTCTGGCTTCCGTCAGTTTTCAGCTTTGGTCTTTGGACTCAGTGAAGGAAAACAAATGCTGTTTCATTGCAGTGGTGTTGTGGACTTGCAGTGACAGAGCCCAAGGGCACTGACCACCCGAAAGTATCACTCTGAAGCGAGAGGTGCAGGAACCGAGAGGAACCATCTTCCAAATTCTCAGACATCACTTCCCTTTCAGGTGGCTGAGGATTCTACTCCATCTACAGAAAAGGATTGCAAAAACCATCTTCCTGCAGAGTTCCTCCCTCTCATCCCACCTGAGAACCCACCTACACAGACCTGCATGCGTTCAGCTCAGCAAGCCCCACCGAGAGAGCCCAGCATCAGAGATGTCTGTTTCCTGAATGAAAAGTAGCAGCAGCATAAAAATCAGGACATGAAAACACTTTGAGGCGGGCGTTGCCCTGCACAGCCCGGTAATACTGCAGTAGGAGTGGAAAGGTTTGTCAGTACTGACCACTTTCTCCAAGGAGCTTGGGGCTTGCTGAGATTCAGTCCTCCTTTTTTTTAGGATTTGGAGGGAAAGGAGTACTTTCAGACTGCAAACGAGGCACTCGTTCCTTTGAGGCAGTGAAATGCATCTCTGGGGGCTCTCAGCCTTCTTGACTCCTAAAGAAACCACTGGGAGCACCCTGACTTCATCACCCCCATCCGTGAAGTCATCTGAGCCCCCTGGGGGCTGGCTGGGACAAGACGTGTGCCGCACACACAGCAAGTTGAACAGGGGGAGTCCAGACCTGTTCCTGGCTTTCTTTTTTCTCTTCAAGACTGGCTTTTCTGCAAGGGAGAAAACATCTGGACTTGTGTCTTCTGCTTGCCTTGCAGGACAAGAGGAGCCTGAAAAGGCTAGAATACAATTCTGCTGGGTTCTTTGATATGAAAAATTTAGCTCTTCCCTAGTCTCAGAGGTCTTGCAGCAGCTCAATCACAGGACACAAGAAAAGGAACACTAGCAAGGGATTCATGTTTTGTTTAAAGCAGTCTTACTGGTTGGCTTTTAATAACATCATGTCAGTGATTTGAAGCTGGGACAAAGATGCCTCTTTCAAAGATTAAGGGTAGCATGCTCCATAAAAGCTTTCATCAGAAGAGAAGGAAGGCAGAGGCTGGATTAATCTGAACTGGGACCATCTAGCCTATGTGCTCTTGAACTGAGAAAGAAGCTGCAGCTTGACAGGAAGATACAGAGAGATTATCAGAGAGGAGATGGGGAACTTCTGTCCCTACACCAGGTTTCTGTCAGAAGTTACCTTCAGCTCTTATGACCTATCCTTCCCAATGTTTCATCAACTCTGAAAACCTGAGATAACCTTGGTGCCCTATAAACGTGCTCTCCACGTGGGATTCTGGCTAATTCTTTGTCCTGAATGGTCAGTTAAGGCAGTGAACTCCACAGCCTAAATCCTTGCTGTATGAAAACTGTTTGGGTATCATGGTGTGAATTTCCTGGATTTTATTTTACTTGAATGTCACCAAATTAGGAGACATAGGAAACAAGAGCTGGTGGCGTTCCAAGTGTCTCACAGAAGTACAAGAATAAGGCTGGGTGACAGATGGGGCTCTGCTCTGTATTTATTACACACGCTTATACTGGGATTTTTTTTTTTTTTTTCCCCTTGGGGCAACAAGAAAAGCAGAGAAGCAGGAGCCACGTGAAATCAAGGATTTGCCACAACTCCTGTGATGGGGCCATCTCAACTTTGAAACATGCTCAAAACGTATAAGCTCTAAACAGAGCTGTCCACACCTGTTTTGAGAGTAGATGGAGGCGTTACAGGTGAAAGAGAGATGTATTTGCAATAGGAGATGAGAGGGTAGATTCTTTGCAATGGAGAGAATCTGACCCAGCTTCTTCCCAGAAATTGTGACATTGTCCCTGGGTCTTCATCTCCACTGCTGCTGGCAAACACAGCACACGGCTGAGCTGGCTTCAGCTGAAGGACAGTGAAGTGGTCAGAAGTGGTGAGAGATGTTAGTTTCCAATGAGGTTGGAAGAAGCACCTTTCAGGATGGACCTGTGAGTGCTGGGATGGAGAATACCTTGTTCCTGTGTCTGAAATAAGAGTGGAAAAGTTAAAGGAAGAAGTTCGGCTTTTGACCTAAGAGAGGAAATGAAGTTGGGAGCTACCAGGCCACAGAAAGTCCTTCCTGCAGCTTTTGGTCTCGAAGGCTTGTTTATTTCTGAAGTGTTTTTCAAAACCTTCTGCGGCACGAACATGGCACGAACGCCGCAACAGCAGCTTGCTCTCTGTCGGCCAGCTCTCCAGCTGAGGACTCCCAGGACTGGTCTCTGAGCGAGCCAGCCCACGCAGACAGATGCCTCTGGATGAAGATGGGCTGCCTGGGCCTTCACAGGAGGAGAGGACCTGGAGATCACAGCTCTGTGCTTCTGTGACCATCGCAATGCGGAAACGCTGAGGAGACCACCAGCATCACACGGCTCTGTGCGGGCTGAGCGCGGCTGGGCTGTGCAGCTCAGGGCTGCTCAACACGTGCAGACGCTGAGCTGTGAGCTCCACTCCGGCCGGTTTGCTGAACATCTTTGTCCACTCCAGCTCTCCCGTAAGCAAATGAGCCAGTGTCTTGTTAAACTGAGTGTTCACGGACATCCTGGACCTCCTCTTCAGATCCTGCATTCAAAAAAAGAATAAAGGAAGCGTGAGTCAAATGCTCCAGAGCCGCTGCGACAGAACAGATTCTGCAGTGGAAGCCACAGTGTTTCTCCCAGTATTTTGGAGGGACTTTTCTGGCCATTTCCACAGTCAGGTTATTCCTCTATGTTAAGACAGAACAAAACAAAAAGATAAGACATCAAACTCCAATGTGAATGTTCAGAAAAAGCTGAGGATGTGGTGCATCCCAGGATTCATCTTGCTGCTAGGAGCTTTTTGGGCTTTTTGATGTGTGCTCTTTGAGGAAAATCTGTACAGCCATGTAAAAAATGATCAGCACCAGAAAACACTGCTGGCTTATATTCACAGATGCCATGGCACCACCCTCCAGGCACAAGGGACAGCAAGAAAAGAAACTCCAGACAACAAAAAGAGCCTGCAAGAGAGGAGTGAGTGCAAGAAGGGAACAGCACAGGTGTTTCAAGGCATTGACAAATCATTTCTGAGTCTCAAAAACCACCAAACCCAGTGAGTGTTGGTTGGTCACTAACACCAATGCCCCGCATCCAGCCAGCAAGGATGGTGCTTCCTTCCTCCCCAGCCCCATCTGCCTGGTGAATTATTGACAGGCAGGTGCCGAGTAGGTTGCACTGAAACACTCAGTGTAAGGGCTGCCTAGAAACCGTGCATCCTTGGTTACTGCTTCAGTCCTTTTCTCCCTAACGTGGCTGAGCACTGACGTGTGCACTGTGTTCCCTTTCCCTGATGTCTCTCAAGCCTGCCCAGAGCTCTCACACAGATAAGCACAACCCAGAAAATGCAGACATGCGTTATTTTTCACATTTCCCTTTTCCTGAATGTTCTTGAGATCAAAAGGATACAAATGCCCACACAGCTATTCAGAGAGAGCAATTCAAAACAACTTTTCAAATCAGAGTCACAGAAAACTCTTGCTCATTACCAAGCACTAGCTGTAGGAACAGGGCCTCTGCAAATTAAACATATGGGAAGGAAACAGCTAAAGGAGATTCTGCTTTGAAAACGTAGCTCACAGATGTGGGAAAATTAATGGACAGACGCAGCATTATACATCTGTATGTGTGCAGGGCATGGCTGAAGTACCAGAAGACATGTCTGTGAGACGTGGCATTGGTTGATGCGTATCAGCAGCCCACTGAAGAAGCCTCTGCCAGCTGCTCCTCGGGCGTGCTGATTTACACACAGCACAGGGAAGCTGGGCAGCCCCGACTGCCTTTGGTCGGCCAGAAGCCTCCAGTCTCAAAGAGGATTATCAAACTATTTTCTGAAAACTGCACACGTGGGAGTTTCCCCTGCTACACAAACTGAAAGGAAAGTATAAAAAGGTCCTGAATCAGGAGCCAGAGAGGTGGGAGATCCACAGCTGATGAGCTGGAGACCCCCACAGGGCGAAGACCTGAAGGAACACACCTTGCTGATAGAACAGAGATTTGTCCAGTGGGTGTTAACTTGTAATGGTGGTCTTTTCCTCCCCTAATTCCTTTCTCCCTCTCTAGTAAAGATCAAAGACACGACATGAAAGGGAAAGACTGTGAAAAGGAGCAGGAGATGGGGAGTGAGGGAGGATGCTGACATGCTGCAGGGGATGAGAAAGCATCCAGAGAGAAAGCACGAGGTTCCACCACTGATAAATAAATTGCTGGGAGCAATTTATCTGCTCAGGAATGAGATCCGAGTGTGTGCAGGTGGCTTAGGAAGCCATCTAGCTGTAACTCACTGCTAGTTGTCTGACTTCTCTTAAAAGGATCCTCTCAGCATTGCTTGAGGATTGATTCTTCAGAGAAACAAGTCAGAGCTGTAAGGCCCAGGCTCAATTCCCAAGCAGGGGAAGCAGGGATGTACCTTTATGCAAACCACACCAAGAAAAGCCGTATGAACTCCAAGGTGCTGCAGGCATCTTTGGGATCATCATTAGTGCCCTGCTATGCCACAGTGCCAGTGCGTGGCACTGCCTGGGAAAGGGGCTGTGATTCAGCCTCACCTGATCTGGGCAAGGTATGCACACACCTGGAGGGTGTCATGTCCCACAGGAACACCGTCAGCTTCTGGATACCCTGCTTTAGGGACTTCCTGAGCCAGAGATGGTATCTGCATCGCTGCATTTGATAGCTCTTGATCTAGGCTCTCAAACACATTTTACTTCTGGCACTTACATCCTCTGGGTACAGAGCACCAATATGAGCCATGTCTTACCTTACTGGGTGTTGCAAAGCTTCCATTTCCCATTTGATGCCATATTATTTCATCATAAGAAAAAGAGCGTGTCTTTTAGCTGCCATCTGTTCTGCTCTCCCTGATTTTGTATTGTATTCACCACTAGTCATCATTTTCCCATGTGAAAATCTCTACATTCTGTTTCCTCAGAAAAACCTCAGCACTGTGATTGCACCCTCCTGCACTCCTCCCAGGTCTGCTCCATCCTTTTATGAGAGGTGGTGATGAGTTGCACTAAAGCTCTGGAAGCACCTCGGGTTCACACAATTGCACAGCAGCGCTTTCTGCTGCTCCCCTCCTCGTCCCCAGACAGCACTGAGCAATTCTTTGGCAGAAGTACTCACAGTGAGTCCAGGACTGTTTCCTGAGGTTGTAAGAAGGGCCCATGGCAGTGCATACATTCTTAGAAGCAGCTCTGCTCTTGTGTGGCATTTTGTGTTACTCACACGGAATTTCACCTGCCACTTTATTGCCCAATAACTCAGCAACAGGAGATCCTTATGTAGCACTTTGTAACCAGCTTTAAAGCTGGCAGTCCTGAAGGATTTTGTCTTCTACAAACTCTGTTATCTCCTCACCTTGCCCAGGATATTTATGAACTTGATGAAAGCTGCTGACAGCTGGAGAACTCCACTTCTCTCCCTTCCCGAGTAACTTTCCTCCATTAAGACTGCTCTGCACTTTGTCTCCTATTTTTCAGCCTGTTATTTACCTCTGAGCACCTGCTCTCTTATCCTTTGGGAGCTTCATTCCCCTACAAGATCTGGGAAGCGTTATCTTTCTCTACAAAAGCCGTGCTGCCTCCTCCCCTGGATTTCACGCTTAGCCATTCATCTACAAGTCAGCCCCTGGATTTGAATCTGTAACAATTTGCTTGGCAGGAAAGTCAGGCTCATCGCTCTGTGGCTCCAGCTATTTGAAGCTGGTGTTGCTCTCAACTCTTCCTTCTGGTGCTGGGCATGGGCAGCAGATTATAGTCCACATTCGTGGTTTAGCTCTTTTTTAAAGCCAGAGCCCTTGCACGACGCTCCGGTGAGTAACTCACACCCCTGGCAATTTTTTACCATTCGCCTTATTGATGAGTTTCGGAAATGCTCACGTTGGTGCTGTGATCTGGGAGGGATCCTCCAACCCACGAGCTGTGCTGGGGTGAGAACCTCCTCGAGCGCTTCCCTGCTGATCACTGATGCAGGAAGTTCGTTTTGCTTCTCTGCTGTGCTCTGCCCTCGAACATCCCCCTCAGACACACCTCACTGCCACAGAGCCTGCGGCACGCTTCTTCCTACCGATGGAGATGAACATCTTTGCATTAATAGCCCTTCTGCTTTGCACAAGCTGCTCACAGAAGTCTTCCCTTCCTGCCTCATGTGGCTCTGCTCTTAGCTTTATATTCAACCCTCTGATTTCTCGTCTGGCCACACCTTCGCTTTTGAAGAATGGTTTATTGTTTGTAATTCCACTGCCCTGCCAGCCCTTTTTGAGGCCTTTTTCTGGCTGGTGAGATGTGTGACTCTGGGCTTCTGTTCCTGTGCCTGTAAGCAATGCCTGTGCCCAAAAGCATCTCGTTCTTTTCACTTCTTCTCTCACTATTATTTCAGGAGCCTCATGTTTATATGAGTTCTTCTTCAGCAGCCCGTGCTAAAGCAGTGTACTGTAACCCTAATACCACTTCATTCCTACTTAGGCACAACTGGGGATTTTGTGTTTCTTGTCACTGGACTTTACACCTTCCTTAACACAGAGTGCCCCCTCATGCCTCCAGAAGAGACACACTTCTCTCTATAATTCCACACGGAAATTGCACAGTCCCATTGTTGGTGTTTTCTTAAAGACATTCTGAAAAGTTAATGGCAAAAATGTCACCTAAAGGCAGGCTTCCTAATTCATCCACTTACATTTTTAGCTATGTATTCAGACATGTCTTTGCATTTCTCCTGGGTCTCGTTGTCTTTTTTGTTGTGTGTCCCACTGAAACAGGACTGTCAATTGTTCTTTGCTGTGTTTACCTGTCCTCCACTGATTTACGCCCAGTCCTTTCCAAGATAAAGCACTGAGGTGACTGTAACTCCACAGGTTGTGTCATGACAAGCAATGTTTTCAGCTTGATGGCTTTTCTGCACAAGCCCTGCAAGAACTCCTGCTCTCTACAACTTTGCTCACTACAACTTTCCCTGGTTCCTAACAAAATTCAATCTTTCCAAGTATCCTCTCACTCTTATAAAGAAATTTCGACTCTCTGGAAAGCATGCACTGAAGCTACAGCTGTCAGACAGACAGGGTCCCACTGCCTTCCGACACATCAATTCTTTGTGCTCCCAGCAGACGGAGGTAAGAGGGACAGGTGTCTTGCAAAGTCAGCCTGCCAGTGGCTCTAGACAGGCATCAGTGCCTTCCCCATCACACCATCAGGATGGACAAGCTCTGAGCCTCTGGGACAAACCCACAGAGCAGCAGCAGTGTCACAGCACAGCAAAGCCCTGGAGCTCCACATCAGGCAAGCAGAGCCCAAGTGGGGCTGGCAAATCTCCTGGGGGACCTCTGGGCTGGAGGGAGGCATGTGCTCCCCTTCATCTCCCTGTGTCCTCCCAGTGGGGATCATAGAAAGGGAGGAGACACAGATAGGAGAAGTAGAAAACAGTCTGAAAAACATCAGCAAATTCAGACAGCTAGAGAGAAGGAAATAGGCACTGCTTGAAGTGAGGGTTTTGTCAGAGTGAGGACTGAGACTTGGCAGAACATCACACATTTCCTAGAAGGGGAGCAGGGCAGTGGCTGCCAAAGCAAGTGCATGGTGTTGCACACACTGGGCACCTCCATTCCTAAAGCTGCCTGCTCTTTTGTCTGCTCTTTTCCCATTTTTTTTTCCTTTAGGGAGAAGCTAAGAACAGGAAGGCTAACCTGAAGCCCCTGTGTTTCAGGGTATGAGGTTTAGGAAATAAAGAAATAGGATGGCTGCACCTCCACTGTCAAACAAGAAAGCACTTGGGCTGACCTCCCGATCTGGAAGTAATCCACACGTACATTATGGGGACAAGAGCACAGGCTCTTGCCCTGCTAGCCTCTGCCCAGCAGAACAGGGGGTTCCAGGGAAGACTGCCTGACACCTTAATTCCCCTCAGACCCCATTCAGACCCAGACTGCAGCGATCTTTGGTGAACATCGAGTTCTGCTGCTGCAAAGTAGAGAGGTCAGCGCAAAGCCCTGTGCTGTCACACTCACCAGGTGCTTCCCCACCCCACGTCCACAGCCACAACTGAAAGAAGTGCTGACTGCCCTGAGACTGGGAGCAGGGCACAGAGGCATTGGTGTGTCCTAGCAGCAGCCATGTCACAAGTGTCCAGGCGATAAGAGCTGATGGACAAGGCTGCAGACAATGCTATCCACGAGAGGGACCTGGAGCTCCCCCAGGAATGGCACTGCCCCTCCTGGGCAGCACCCGGGTTGGGGACAGTGGGGTCCACCCTGAGCCACACCAGTGCATGGGCTCTGTTTGGAAACGGGAGCTTGCACAGGCTCCTGAGCAATGCACCATGCCATGGTGCTTTGATACAGTCCAGACAACATTGCTGCACACTGCTTCCAGCTCCGGGCAATTCATCAGCCCTCGGAGCTGCTGCAAACTGCAGAGACATCCCCCCACTGCTGTATCTCCCAAAGCAGCAGCATCCTGAAGAAACCCCCCCATCACCCATCTGCAGCACCAGGCCCTTCTGTGCCAGGGAAAAGGCTGCAGGCACTGCACTGAGCCCCGTGCCCAGCTGGCCTCTCTCTTCCCTGCTGCCTCCTCGCAGGCATGATGTGTCCAGGAGCCTGGGTGGGGTGTGGGGCTGGATAGACAGCGTGGGGAGGAAGTTATTATCTGTGTGGTACAATGGGCACGGTGAGTCAGGAGTTTCAAGCCAGAAATTAGGCTGCTAGTTCTGTATAGGGTACCTAAATAAAAATGATTTGCACAGGGACCGGCAGTGAGTCAGTGACAGGGTGAGGAGGGGAGCCCGGCACCTGCCCCTGCTGCCTGCAGCTTGCAATTTGCAGAGGAACCAGGGAGCTGAGCCTCCAAACATCCTGCTCTCAAAGTCACACAAGGAGGCAGAATGACATACGGCAGTTAGGCAAAGGGCCAGATCTTAATTACTTCTAATTTCCAGAAGACACTAAGAAACAACTCCCACACAGAAGGGGCAGGTGAGACAGGAGGGATGTGCAAATCCATAAACTCATTCAGTCTGTTCCTGTGCTACTCGCAGCCATGCACACACACTTCCTTATTGAGGCTGGCAAGCTGGGGCAACCAGCAAAGCCCAGTGAGCCTTAATGGGCTCTGCCATCAGAACATCCAGACCGAGGGAAGGATACCCAGAAATGCGGTTCCACCCCTTCCGCTGGGAGAAACTCTGTCTGCTAGACACTCCTACAGAGCCGCCTTATTTCCCACTGGAATTATTTTAGGGTGAGACTGTGGGGTTTGATGCACTCAGCCGATCCATAAACGGACGACAATCGTTCCAGCCATCACCTGAGGATGGGCGAGATCCAGCACACCTCTGTCACCAGTAGTGCTATAGGAAAGCCTACGGGCACCTGGAGCACGTTCCCACCTCACCTGCAGCAACCCACCCTCATCATCTGCTTGCCGAAAGAGAAAACCCAGACTAGACTCACCCTGCCCACACTGCTGAGCTGGGCAGTGCAGGTGGAGACTGTGCCTTGGGGTGCCTGTTCCTGAGAAACCAGCAGGAACCGTGCGGTTTCCCTCCCGTCCTGACATCCCCTCCTCCTGCTTTTTCAGCTCTGAGCTGGATTGTGGCACCAAACACTTCCACAGCGGCCGGGAGCCCGTGCTGCAGGGCATGGGAGAGCTTGGGATCAGGGGTTGGACCTCGGGCGAGCAGCGGTGGCCAGCAGGGTGGCCATGAGGAATGTGAGCATCAGAGGCTTTGGGCAAGGCTGAATCCTCGGGCAGGAGAGCGGGATCGAGCTCCAGGGGACACTTTCTTTTCCTTCGGTGATGTCGGCTCTGTAAGCTGTGTCTCTGGGGCAGCAGCACAGGGGACGTGCCTGCTGCTCCCGACTGTCTGTTGGCATCTACACCGAAGTCCAACCTGTTGGGAGAAGCGGAGGAGGCATGCGGGGGCTCCCGACCTTGCTGAGCACAGGCTGGCTGTCCCACTGGAGGAGCCTCCTGCAACTCTGTCCTGCTTTCCAGTGGCTGCTGACAGTGATGGCTCTTCTCAGCCCTCTTTTGCGTCCGAGCACTGTGAAAGCCAACCTTAGCCCCAGAGTATCGGGACTTGCGCTGCCCAGGGCCTGAGCCAGCCCGGCCAGGTGTGCATTCCACCTCCCTTCTGTAGTGGTGGTGCTGGTGGTGGTGGTAGTGGATGTGGTTGAGCACCTGGGCCTTGGCTGGAGCGGCACCGCCGGGCACCATCAGGTCCAAGGACCTGGGTCGCGTCTCCCTCAGCGCCCGTTGCCGCTCCGGCCCGTTGTCCATGGTGGGCCCATCTGAGCTGCAGTACACAAACGGGTCGTAGTCGCTGCTGAGGGAGCTGCGGAAAGTGGAGCAGCTGCCATGGATGCCCTGCAGGCTGATGTCTGTGCAGTTCAACATGGAGTCGCTGGAAGAACCGTGGCAGGGCCCCGAGCTGGAGTCGCTGCCTGGACCGTCTGCCAGGTACCCGCTGTGCTCCGTGAGATAGCTCTCCCCGGAGCCACTGCTGTTGTGCTGGTGCCCGTGGCTGACCCCCCGGCGCGGGATGGGCGCCCGGTGCTGCCGCTGTGCCAGGGCTGCCGTCAGCCCCAGGCAGGGCGGTGTGGGCTGCAGGGAACACGTCCTGTGGGGGGGTTGCCCACACGCCGGAGGGCTGGGGTGCTGCTGGCCCCGCAAACCGGAGGCCAGGGGGGACGCGTGCCCACAGGCGGGCAGGGAGCTGGCTGGCCTGTATGGCATGTAGTGGATTGTGCCAAAATCCAGCTGGGAGAGCTCTGGAGAGTGGAAGAAGGGGTTGCTGTGGGCTGGCTCTGAAGGGAAGCTCCTGAGATTCCTCTGAGGGTAGGGATGTGGAAGGTGGTAAAGGGAATGTCCTGGGTGCTGGCGGAAAAGGTGCAGCCGCCGTCCGGGCTCCATGTCCCGAGGAGCCAGCCTGGAGCCTGCCGCCGTGGCCTGGTCCACTGAGTCTCGGGCTGCGAAGAGAGACGGCAGCATCAAGTGAACACCCATGGCCTGGCTGTGGTGGCCTCAGCATCATCGAGCCTCTACCGCACACTCATACCCACATCCCACCTGTGCCCTGTGTCAGCTCGCAGCTGCCACCAGACCTTCTTGATGGTTTGCACACCCTGCATCCTTTCTGGGGCCCTGGCCCCAGACCCCGACTCCTACTCCCACAGGCCCTGGGAATGGCACAGATCCTGCCCCAGCCCAGAACCTCACTGTGCACACGCAGAGACATCCCCCCTCCATGCACACACGACCTGGTACCCCCATCCCCCACACACAGACGTATTCCTGTGCTGCACTGACTGTATGCATTGCCCAAAGGTACGTGTTCCTCCTGGGCACAATCCCTGCACCCACCCCTATCCCTGGCTGGGAAATGCCTACCAAGAATATTGAACATGCAAAGTGGACACGTGTGGTGTTGCTGCAGCCAGGGGTCAACACACTCCCGGTGAAACTCGTGGGAGCATGAGATGATCCGCAGTTCCTAGAAAGAAGCAGGGAGAGGATGAGGAGGGTGAGCGAGGAGAACCTTGTCTCAAGAACTGGGTACAGAGGGGGGGCTTGTGATGTTCCAGGAGGCAACATTTGAAAGACTGAGACATGCAGCAAGCCATTGCAGCCCAGCTTTGTATGGAGAAGGCTGTGCAGCTGTCTGGCATCTTTGGTTCTGCTCGCTGCATGTAGCCCTAGGAAGTGATGTCCAGAGAGCTGCTAGCCCTTGGGAATAGGGAGACTATGGGCTGACTGGTTAGGAGAAGCAAACCCCACTTTTGCCTCACTCTTTCAACACAAACACATGATGGTCATTATACCCTTCAGTAACAATAGGAGACTCATCTTTAGGGAACTGCAATCTGCAGGCAGGTCCAGTGCCTTCGGGCCAAGGGCAGTCAGTCTTCCATCACTGCTGAACCTCACCCAGCCTCCAGGAGCTGCTGAAGGAAGCCTCCCCAGGGCCTCCCAGCCTTGCCAAGCTCCCGCCCGACCGCAGCTCAGAGCTGAGGCTCGCTCACAGCCATGCCTGCAGCCTACCTGGCCCTCAGTGAACTCCTCCAAGCAAATAGCACAGACCGGGGCCGAGCTGCAGCTGCTGGCCGAGTCCCACCGCGAGGCCTGCCGGCACCTGGCCTGGTACCTGCGCGTGGCCAGCTGCCTGATGGCCTGCATGGTCTGCTGCTGTACCGAGTCCTGCCAGGAGGAAAAGAGGCTTTCAGGAGATGCTCAGCCATGCACTGTCGTGTTCCTCGAGGTTCTTCCACTTTTGAAAATGTGATTATTGCAGATTTGGGGGCAATTTCCACGGGTGATTTTTGCCTATCCTGAGGGGACTTTGTTACCAGCAGGAGGTAACTGATAATGGACGTTCAAAATCGCTCAGTGGTGCTGAATTTCTGATCCCCAGAGGCTCGTCCTTCTATTGGAAGTGTAGGATATTTTCAAATCTGGAGACACATCTGACTAGGTGGTGTGGCAGGAGGAGAGCAAGATCATTGCGAAAGGGATGCTGCCAGCCCACCTCAGGACCATTCCACACACACCAGGCACACACCTGCCTCATCTCCAGGGCACACATTTCCTCCCCCAAACTGATTCCAGGGCTGCTCTCATTGCATTCCTGTTTGCTCAGACACGTCTGCTCTGTGAGATTCTTACCTGTGTCCTGTTCAGCTGGCACTTTGTGCGGACGACAAAAATCAAAATGATGACGACAACAGTGCTGACCACAGTGAGAAGGATCCACACGTCGTAGTCAGGCTGTTGAATAAAACAGGAAAGAAATTACCCTTGTGAATGAGACTTAGAGGCCAAGCAGGGGAATTCTGATCTCTTCCTGACCATCACTTTGGATACATCATCTTCGGCCAAATTCTGCTTCCGTGGTTTTTACAGATGGAAGAAAAGAAAGAGGGCTCAGTTTTGTTTTTCTGCACATTTCATCAGAAATGGATGTTTGATTTTGCAGCACCTCAACGTACTATAAGCCACGACCTAAGGTAGCACAAGATAAGAAAATCAAGGCTTGATGTCATACGAAGAGAAATCTCTTCAGTTCACTCATGATGTTTAAGCAAAAGAAGCTGTAAATAAGCTCAAAGAGATTTTGAGTTTTTCTTTGCAGCACAACATCTGAACAATGCAGATAGGGAGAATGGCTCTGCAGAGCTCCTGCAAAGGAATACCATCTGCAACGCAGGGGAAGGAAGATCAGCAGCTTTGGAAAAGTCCAGGGGAGAAAGGATACAGGAACAGTGGGAACAGTGTGTCTCACCCAAGCTGGTGGCTCCTTGACCTCTATCTTCACATGGGCCTCTCTGTTCTTGTTCACGACGCCCATGAGCAGCTCAGCGTCGTGGCCCCTGATCAGCACCACGGGTTGACTCAGACCTCTGGGCTTTCTCAGCTGTAATGAAACAAATGTGGTGAAAGACATTCCAGAACAGCCTGAAAGAGATGTTCCAGTACCCCTGCCAGGTCTGATCTCTCCTCCAGATTTTGCTAATCTTAGGCACAGCTTCCCTATCTGTGCTCTTATCTAGTGCTGTATGCTTTTCATTATCCTTTGATTATTTCAGCGAGGAATCTATTCCACTGCAGAGATGAGCAGTGCTGGTGGAAGCACTGATGTTTAACTTGTAGCCAGAGCATCACCAAGAGCATACCAGAGTAGCCATGACTTCTGCTTGAAAACTTGAGAAATCACCTTTCCTCTGAGTTACACCAGCCCTGATGGATGGGCTCTGGTAATCTACCATTTCCCACAAGGAAGCAATCACCTTCTGGAAAGCACCTTTAATTGACAAGGAAATATCCTTCAAGAGCAGCACGGTGTTGTTTACAAGCTGCTTGTGCTGCCTGCAGATCTGGATGTGCAGAAGTGACAAGTGCTGTGTGCACGGGTGAGCTGGGTAAGCGCTAACCCTCCAAGCCAGGCTGCACGTCTTCCTGGGACCTCCCACTCTGTGTTGGTGGTGGGGGGTCCTGACCTATCCACATTTAGGGATAGGATGAGGGCACTGAGATTCAGTTGGTAACATCTGAATCATTGGGGGTCCTGATGGACGAGAGACTGAACATGAGCCAGCAGTGCGCTCTGGCAGCTCGAAAGGCAAATGGGATCCTGGGCTCCATCAGGAGAGGGGTGGTCAGCAGGGACAGGGAGGTGATTGTCCCTCTCTACTCGGCTCTTGTGAGGCCCCATCTGGAGTCCTGTGTCCAGGTGTGGAGCCCTCAGTACAAGAAAGACATTGAGATTTTGGAAAGGGTCCAGAGGAGGGCAACTAAGATGATCAGGGGGCTGGAGCACCTCCCCTATGAGGACAGGCTGAGGGAGTTGGGCTTGTTCAGCCTGGAGAAGAGAAGGCTGCGGGGTGACCTCAGTGCAGCCTATCAATACCTGAAGGGAACCTACACCCACGAGGGGAGTAAACTCTTCAAAAGGGCTGACAACAGCAGGACTAGGGGAAATGGATCCAAGTTGAAGGAGGGAAGATTTAGGTTGGATGTTAGGGGGAAGTTCTTTACAAGGAGAGTGGTTAGGCCCTGGAACGGGCTGCCCAGGGAGGTTGTGGATGCCCCGTCCTTGGATGTGTTTAAGGCCAGGTTGGACGGGGTCCTGGGCAACCTGATCTGAATGTGTATGTTTGGTGGCCCTGCTAGGCAGGGGGGTTGGAACTACATGATCCTTGAGGTCCCTTCCAACCCGGGTGATTCTGTGATTCTGTGATTCTGTGATTCTGTGATCTGTGGGGTCTGTACCTGATCGGCAGCACTTTCATCATCGGTAATGTCAAAAAGGATTGCACGAGCTCCACGCTCCCCTGCCAGCTTTGCCTGTCCAAAAGAACAGAAGCTTCAGTAAACATTTTATATTGTACATCTGCATTAGTATCTACCATCTGGGTAAACATTTGCCTCTCTTCACAGGAGCCATATCCTCTGTTCAGATTGAGGATTACATCCCGATTTCTGTGCTTGCACGGCGATGCAGTGATACCGGTGCCTGCTCTTGCTTTCTCTGCTCCCTGTCCTCTGCGCTCATCAGGGAGAGGCTCAGGTGATCCCTGGGCTGCAGGCCCAGGATGAGGAGCTGAGGGATCAGCCACGCCACGCTCCTCGCTGCCCAGCACTTGCTGCAGTCTGATGAGGACAGCTTTGGGACCACGCAAGTGAGCGTGCACCCCGTGCCGGTGAGCTCAAAGCACACTGAAGGACCTCACGGGGTCACCCACGTTCTCACCCACGTTCTCCCATCGAGCCCTCGAGGCAGGCAGAGGCAGCTCTTGTGAAAGGGAGCCGGGAACGTGAACAAAGTGCAGGGCTGGGCCGCTGTTACTCATGCGGAGTGCTTTGATCTGGGCGTCCCGAGCGCCTGTGCAAACAGGGATCTGCCGGAGCTGCTGCAGCAGTTTACCCGCTGCATTGCCAAACTCCAGCTCAGGGGCCAGAGGTCAGTGCTGCAGCTTCCCAGCTGCAATATCAAACGCAGCGCCGGGGAAGCGGCCTCCGAGCTCATCTGGTCGGTGGGGAGGAGCTGGGGGCCAGGGCTGGCTGTGGGCTTTGGGAGTAGGATGGAAATGGAGAATGTGGGGAAGACCACAGAGCTCCAGGAGGTTGGACTCTGAGTCGCTGATAGGACTGTGCACTCTTGGATTTGATAGAACAAATGGGGAAGTTGGAAAAGGGGCATTAGGGGCTCTGGGCAGGGATCAGAGCCTGGGGTCCTGCCTGGGATCAGAGGAGCCGTGGCGTTTGCCAGCAACAAGGAGCAAACAGGACTTTCAAGTAGCGACTTCCACTCATGGGAGCCAGTCAAGCTTTGATGAACACTGAAGAGCTCTACAAAGATTTTATCCTGCTAAATACACCAGTGATGGGGAAACAAACAACTAAGACTGGGCAAGTGATCTTTCACACCATATTTCAGACTCCTGTTGCAGAGAAGCAACTTGTGTCCAGGCTATCCACAGCCTGCGTGCTGAGTGCTTGCTGTCTTTGTGTCAGCTCTCTTCGGCTCATCTCACTCTTTGAACACTGGAAGTATTCACAGGTTGGTTTAGAAGATTTCAGCAGTCTGACAACCAGACTTGGAATCAGTGTTTCACATGGGGAAAAACTACTTCTGTGGTACAGAATTGCAAATGATGCAGCAGAAATAGAAATAAATCAATCTGAATTGACTCCATGTGTCCTCCATGGCTGTTTCTCCCCAGGCAGATCAGACACCTTCCTACCAAAGTCAGCTCTGATGTCGAAGCAGGGCTAGCATCTAAGAGAACAGAAGCAGAAAGTGCATCAGGTGACTGACGAGTCATTCTCACGCTGGGCTTGAAAGTGCTGTCTGTGTGCACTGCTTGGCTGGGTGACAGCTGCAGGAGAGGTTATGATAACACTTTGCACATGGTTATTTTTATCAGCGTTGATATAGCACTGCAATTCAACATGCACAGCTCTGCCGCAGGCAACGCACGCCAAGGGAACAAGGCTCCTGCCCCAGCACCAGCCACAGCCCGCAGCTGCCCTTGTGCTCTCAAAGCAAAATGCCAGCCAAAGCTTTGGGGATCCATCTGTGTACTGCTGGAGGGAAGGAGCTGGGCAGAGGATTCAGGAGAATGGAAAAGTTGACAAACCCCAGTGCAGAAGGACGGCAGTTGCAAGGGTGAAGGAGTCAGGGCACAAGTCCAAAGGAGGGCCCATGAACACAGCCAGCTGAAGAACATCTGCCTGTATTTTGTGGTATTGCATGAGGGAGAGAGCTGTGAGCATCCCCAGGAGAGGAACTGCAGCAGGAGTGCCTGCAGGCAGGCTGGAAGCCAGCAACACTGGTGCAGAAAGGGACAGGCATTGCCACCTGGTTGCCTGTAAGGCTGTGGGAAAGCAGCCTCGAGCTGTAAAATCCATCACAGGGGTCATCTCAGCATCGCTCCCCTTTCCTTGCTTTTGTTACCGAGGCTGCACCACCAAATCCAACCCAGACTAAACAAGGCTCTTCGTGTTTGTGCAGAACTTATGGAAAATAACACAACGCTTTATACAGAGACAATGAAAGGACACAGACTCAGCCTCTGAAGAGAAAGCTAATGTTAGCCTCCATCCACTCAACTTTATCAGAGACGCAAAGATTTTAAGGCTTAAAATGACCCTCATTCTCACCTGACTTCCTTATCACCACCGAATTGTACCAGTGACCTCAACTTCTGACACAGAAACTGCCATTCACTCACAGAGACCCGACCCGAACACCTCTGAGGTCTCCCATTCCTTCAGAAGGGGATGGATGGTGGCCCTCAGCAGTCACGTCCCATTTCTAGTCTGTCTGGTTTGCTTTTGTCTGAGCTGCTCAGTGCTGATCCTTCCTGTGCCTCACCTGGTGAATTATTACAATTTTGCTCTTTCCTGCATCACATCAGTTCCTGCACTGGTGCCATTGTGGAGCATTTTTGCACATACCTTGTTAGCCAGGGACAGGCATGGGTTGGGATCCCGATCCGGCTGCTCGAGCTTGACGATGGTGATGAATCCTGACTCTGTGTGTTCATCCTCACTGGTGTTGCACAGGGACAGCGGGTGGGACTGTGGGACAGAAGCAAAGGAAGCTCAGATCTTGAGGCTCCGCACTGCGATGGGTGCCTGAAGCCCACTGCAAACTCCATGCCTCAAGGACCTGCACGGAGGGTGCAGGACACCCAGTGGGCATCCCTCCATCCCATGGCAATGTCTGAGTGTCAGCGAGGCTTTGAATGCCACAAGGAACAAATCAAAGCTTTGATTCACCAGGAAGATATCCCAGGGAAAGGTGGAGTGCCTGCTATCACCGTCACAGAGGTCTGGGTTTGTCCCAGTCATGGATATTCAAAGCCAGATGAGACCACAGCCCTTGACTTCTGGGATGCAGCATCCCAACAGCACTGGCCTGGTGGGCCAGCACTGCTGCTGGGCCCTGTGGTGCAGGACCTGCAGCCTACAGCTTCCCATTACAACAAAGCACTTCTGCCACCAAGCTCATCAAATGCTATGGTGAATTTGTAGAGGAGAAGCCAAAGAAGCCCAAGGAAGGATGGCAAAATTGAAAGCACTTTGCAGGAAACACCAGGAATGAGATGGGAGAAGGAAAGATCCCAGAGACCACATTCCCTGGAAAGATGTTCACCCCTTCAAGCCAAGCTGCTGGCACAGGGGCTGAGCCCCATCACATCCCTGCCTCCGCACTGTGCAACTGCCTCTGGGCTTGCAGCCTGGTGGTGAGGGGAAGGCTGAAAGATGGGTGGCCAAAGGAAGCTGCAATTCTTGGCTCCCTCTGGGGAGTCCTGTCATCTTGCATGAACATTCCCAGCTTTTTTCCTTGAAAAGCTGGCAGGCGTCCTTCTCTGTGACTAAACTGCAGTGCGTTAAGAGGTTATGGTACAGAAAAGCCTATGAATTCTAAGGGTGCTGGGCAGCTTTTATTAATGCATCAGTGTGTGCAAGAGTGGGAAGCGAGCAAGAAAGGTCAGCATCATAAAGCAGCAGGATCAGGGCAGGCTTTGTGCCTCTGTCCACCCAGCAGCACGCCCTGCTCTGCAGGTAGCTGCAGCACCATCCCAGAGCTGTGCAGAAGGGAGTTGACTCGTCAGATTCAGAATGGGGAGGCTATCAAAGGAGCCCAGACCCCCAGTGCACCATGCAGCAGCATGGGGATTCAGAGGGTCTCGTTAGTGCAAGCCAAGCAGTGGGATGCGATGCTGCTGAGATGTGTGGGGCAGATGCGGGCAGGGGACATCTCTGCCTGCAGCTGGTTTGGGAAGAAGTGGGTCAGGCACTGACACAGGCTGCCCAGGGAGGTTGTGAAGTCAGTGTTCCTGGAGGTGTTTAAGGAAAGATGTAGGACTGAGGGACACAGCCCGTGGACAATATTGGTGGTAGGTGGATGGCTGGACTAGATGATCTTAGAGGTTTTTTCCAACCTTAATGATTCTGCATCTCCAAATAACATTGAGCAGCATAGACGAACTCTTGGAAGGGAACCTGGGAGGGAAACCATGGGGGAAAGACCTGCTAATGCTGATGAATGCACCAAAACTTTCTCTGTGATCTCCTATTAAGACTGGCCACTGTGATTTTTTGCTTTTGCACTCTAGGACACCTGATCTCCCTGGCCAAGCAAAAGTCCTTTGTCTTGTGCTTTCCTGCCCGGGGCACAGCTACACTCACAGAAGGCATGGCCAGCAGCAGGGAACCCACACCCAGCAGAGCCCCAGGCATGCAGCATCCTGCAGGCTGCAGCCCACAGGGCTGGGGCTCACTGATGGATCCCTTTATTCTGCAATGAGTCCCTCATTGGGCACAAATCACCTCTTAGAGCTGAGACTGCTGGTGCCTTCCTCGGCACTCCATAGAAGATGAGCAGGAGGCAGCCATGAGAGCTCCTGACTGCTTCCACTCTCTCTTCCTACCTCTTCTCCTTCTGTTTGGTGACAAAGAGGCAACCTGTGAAGAAGCAGCAAAGCAACAGGACCTGGCCCTTACTTTTTACATCCTACAACTGCATTTTTTGGCACTTCCACCACATCAGTTGCTGCATTTTGAGTGAGTGAGCAATCACAGCTGCACATTGTGCTCGCAAGACAAGAGCAGACACAAAAAGTAAGCCAAGGATCATGTGGAAAAACAAATATTATGAGATTCCTCAGTGAAGACAGGGCTTGTGCTCCAGCTGCTGCATCAGCATCCCTCACTGCCCCCAAAACCAGACCATGTGTGGCCACAGACCAGCTCACTGCCTGCAGGACTGAAGCGCTTCTCCAGGCTGGGGACGTCTGCAGCACCCACTGCCAAACCAAGAAGTCATTTCTTCTCCTGGGAAGCCTCTCAAATCTAGCAGAGAAAGGTCAGTCAGGCTTGCGAACCCCCTGGTTTTGTCACTCCATTTCTCCCTGCCACCTGCTCAGCAGGATGCAGAGCTTCCCCCACATCCCTACGTGCTTGCTGCCCCTTTTTTCCCTCGTTTCCTTACCCCGTGGCAGCTCCTCTATCATTTCCACCCACACCATCCCTCCAAAAATACCAAACTCGTCTTGCTAACTTCTCGCAGCCTTTCCCAGCAGCCCTGCCGCCCGCGCACCGACCTGCCCCACGCTGCGCCCGGAGCAGCAGGAGCCCACCTGCATGGAGCCCGCCGAGCTGCCCCGGGGAACGGCGGGCGCAGGGCAAGTGCCAGCCTTCATCTGGGGGGCTTCTAAAACGGCAGAAGAAAAGATGACCCTGGGAGGTCACGGAGCCCACTTTGCTGCCTGAAGGCAGGATCAGCCAGACCTCAAACATTCCTCAGAGACACTCGCTTAACCTGTTTTCAAGACCTCCAAAAATGGAGATTCCTCACCCACCCCAGGCAATCCAGTCCAGGGCTGCGCTCTCCCCCGCACAGCACAGTAGTTTTTGATGACTTATCTGAATCCATCCTGCTGCAGTTTAGGCTTATTACATTCTCACTGAATCAGCTATGCCCAAAGTAAAGAGATCATTTGTTTTCTTTTTCTGAGAACCACTCAAAGACATCTGTTCTTCAGGGACAAGGCTGGTGAAGCAAGGTCTCTAGCACCAAAGCTAAGTGCGTGCCTCGCCTTGGTTTTCTCTGTACTCTCAGAATTCAGAGTGCTCACAGTTTCTTCATGGGGAATGAGTCGAAAGGATTGATTTGATTTGAAACATCGTGACAAAATCCCCCTAAAAGGGGCTTGGAAAGGAGAGAACAGGACAAGATAGCGTCCATCAGAGGGCTCTAATGCACATCACAGACTGACCTGGTGAGCTCTTAGCAGCAGTGTATCACTCATCAATAAATCGATCCCAGCACCAGGAAAAGGAACGTAGCAAACACAAAACTGAATGTGAAGAACTTGAAGGCGATCCGGGCACAGCAGATTGGTAACCCTGACGTCCCCCAACCAAACAGCAGGAAGAAGGGAAGGGATGAGCCAAGAGCTGTGGGAAAAGGAGTCGTGCTCCACAAACCTACGGGGTCTGTGAAGCTGGTGAAAGAACAGGGGTTAGTAGTAGTGGTTAGTAGCAGTTAGGAGTAGTCTGGTTAATTTTGTACACTATGTCTCCACTTCTGATCTTCTACAAAGTCAAAGCTATGAAAGATGACAGAATATTACGCAGTCCTGCCCCAAACTCAGAACAGAAAAAGCAGGTCAGCCTTTACAATGGAGCACATTCACCAGTTAAGCCCCAGAAGCAAACTGTATTGTCTGAACATTTTCACAAAGGATTTGGAAAATGAGAGGAATAATTAAGTGGCTGAGTTTCTCAATAACACGTAAATATTCAAGCTGGTAAACATCACACTGGCCATAAGGGGATCTCCTGACACCAAGTGACAGAACGACAGAAAACGCTTAAAAACAAACCAACAAACATGGAACACGCGGCCATTTGGTTACTATCTGCCCTGGGTCAGCTTTTAACACTCAAGAAGGAGCTTGTTGTCGCTGTGGGGAGTCCTATGGAAGCGGTTACTGAATCACCCAAAGCAGTCAGAAGGCAAACAGACCGATAGGCACTGCTGTAGAAGAATTACAAAAACCGAACCAGCAAATCTAGCAGATAAAGCTGCAGTGTGTCAACACCTCGGATATTACAAGAAGTTCTGCTCACTCCACATTAAAGAGAAGGAAGTGTTTCTCTGCAAGAAGAGATTAAACAAACACAAACTCTTTAGGTTTGTAGAGATGTGTTATTTTAGAGCTATGTGAAATCATGAAAAATATGGAGAAAGCAAATGGAGCGCGATTATTTACTATTTCTCAAACAAAAGCACCAGGGCCATCAAGTGAAATTATCAAGCAGGAATTTTCAAACAAACAGAAGCGGAGCCGACTCGCGGTCCGGTCGAATGGCAAGGCTCGTTCCCACAGGATGCTGGGAATGCCAAAGGTGTGGGTTAAAAAGCAATTAGACAGATCGGTGAAACAGGAAAGCATGGAGGCTGCCTTGCACAACCAGGAGGCTGCCAGCCCTGCTCTGAGCTCTGAGCGCTGCACAGGGGGATGCGTGAGCATCACTGGGCGCCGCACATCTGACAGTGGCTGCTGTCAGAAGCAGGCTGGCATGCTGGAGCTGCAGTGGGACTCATTCGCACACCATGTTCTCAGGCAGGGTCATTTATACACCTCGTTCTCTCTTTTTAGGCCTCTCATTGCATGCCACCGGTGTTACGTGTCCGTAAGTGGAGTCTTCACTCTCCAACCTCCCTTCACAGGTGGGCTGTGCATTTTCCCATTGCCTCATGTCAGCCCCTTGCACCTGCATCCTCCCACCTCCGTGCTGCCCACGTTCCTCCTGCAACCACAGGCACCGGGCGCACAGTGCAGCACCACAGGCTGCACACATACCTTTGCCACAGACATTTGGGCTAGAAATAATGTATTGAAGCTGAGGTCTGTGGTCAGTGCCAGAGAGCTGCGAGAGCTTCTTCCACCCTCCAGGCTCTGCTGTCCATGAGAAGCAGTTCTGTGACTCAGGGCTCTGACCCAGCACCATGCCAGCAGCCTCATCCCTTTCACTCCCGCACATGACTTTGGGGAACACTCAAG